ATATAATCTTAAAATGATTAACTATTTCCCCAACAGCAAGCTAGGAGATTAAACAGCAGCTATTAAAATATTGATCTTAAAAAGTTATATCTTGCACCCAAGAGTTGAAAAACAAGAGGCCTGAGGAAGTCGTGTTGACTTTCAGTAACCCTTAGAATACTAGTAAAGTCCCTGAGAACTAGGAGAAAGTTAACATGCACTACTGCTTGGAAAAGGTTAATGGATGACCTACAAAACTAGAGGCCCACAAGCCTGACATTGATCCCAGGAAAGCTATAATGGTCCAGTTGATATAAGACTATTAACTAACTCAAGGAAGGTAATTAATGCAAGAGTTTATGGAAGATTGATTTTACTAAACTTGGAGGGTTGTTTGTTTTCATTATGTCAACATGTACTTTTAGGAGCCAGCCTTGTGACAGATTTCTATAAGGAGTTGACTTTGATTAATAAAATAGAATGGTATACAATCAACATATTACAAGTTAAATAGATTTAGTTGTCATTACAAATGCAATTTGTTAAAAAGTACAAGTTTCAAGTAACTGTCAATTGGCTGTTTCTACTAGGATGCTGAAGGGATTGTGTTGGCCCTAGACTGACTTTTACCAATGACTTTGAAAAACAAATAGTTACCCGGTAAGTCTGTATGTAGAGAATGCAACTATTAGGTAGAACAATGAAGAAAGTAGATCACTGATAGAGTGATCAGTATCACCTGGGTAAGCCAGGTACAAAAACAATTAAAGTTACAATACATCCAAATAGAAGTTCATGAATTCTCTGTTCCTAGATACAAGGATTTTCAGGGTGGGCAACTAACTTTGGTAATACCTCTACATTCAAATTCAGAGATTATATTCCTATGTTGAAAGTGATCTTAAAAAGTTCAGTTAGAATTTAGTTGGGAGGGGGAGGGGAATACCACTTTCTTTACCTATATTACAAAGGAAAGAGACTGTGGGACTATCACAGTCGTTCCTCAAGAGAAATTTTACAAGTAAAATAATGAAAAAAGTATGATAATTAATAGAACACGTCATCACTGCTACCCTTTCTTCAGCAGCAGCCAACCGTTGCATGTACAAATTAAGGAACATTATCTAGTGATCTTTTATAAAGCTAAGAGCTGCACCCATTACTAATTACTACTCAATAACCATACCTGTACCCAAAGTAAGTGCAGTCCAATGACTTAAATTAAATACTCATGTTAATTATTCTTTATAGAATCCATGGAAGGAAAAAAAAAAAAAATACACAAAACAAGAACTAAAGATTTTCACAAACCATGGAGCTGTTCCAAGGATCTTCCGAATCTAGACTATAATAAATATGTATATAAAAATGTAACTGAGGACCACAAGTACATCAGGATTATCATCTTACAAAAAATGATAGCCATTCTTTAAAAGAGGTCATACTGTAAGCAGATGGCTTATCTCTTTCCATATTTACTCAGTCCATCTTGCCAGATGAAAAAATCATGCAGAATTCAAATTCACATTACTGTGAGTAGTTTAAATTAAATGTTTAATTTATGTTTAAATTATTGTAAACTAGTCCTCTACCCATCAGTTAGGAAATTTGCTTATTTAAACAAATGCATCAAACTTGGAAGAGAATTGTAACTAAGTGAAAAATAACCTGTTTTAAAAATCATGCCAACTTAAAAACAAGTCAAATTCTGGCCTCCATACCAGTTACACAATGTAGCCAAGAAAACAGTTTAGGTGGCCTTCTAGAATGTACCCAAATATAGAATAAACACTTAGATCTACACCATACCTTCCCAGAGATCACCCAGTACTGACACATAGTAGCTAGAACTTAATCTGAACAGCTGCAAAGATCACTAGTTCAGGTGCTCTTTTTTTTATGCCAGGGACTGGTCTGATGATGGTGGCATAAGTAAAAAGCATCATGGAACTACTTTTCTGCTCAAAACCTAAAAAAAAAAGTACTGAGCATAACCCAAACATAAGCTACAAACTGGGACAATAAACTGAAAAATACACACATCACCCTCCCCCCGCTTTTTTTTTTTGTTCATGATTCTTGTACCTTTTTAAAAAGCTTGTTTAAAGTATAAGCTTAAACCATAAATAAGTTATGTTGCAGCTCTAAGCTGCAAGTAACAATGGAAGCCCCCAAAATCTTATTTATCTGTATTGTAATCATTCGGCAGTGTGCCATATCCATTAATATCACCTGCAAGTGTGAGCATACCTAATGTAGCCTTATAAAAATCGTGCATTCATCCTGTCTGTGCCCATGCCTCCAGCTGCCAGCATTAAGAGTAGTGCTGCCCCAACTCATTAATTCATCTACACCAGAATCCAAGGAACTTCATAAATCACCAAAGAAAATGGAACATGGGTGGATTGCAGAATGTTCTGAGATGTGTTGCATACACCAGCAACAGTAGCTATGGGTAACTTTTTCCTTTGTATGGTTGTGTATGTACATACCTATTCCACTTGTAGGTAATAGGTAGATGCAGTTCATGGATTGGCAGGAGTATGGAATGCAACTGAAGTCTGCCTGAACATAGGCTTCCCAAAGCTTGAATCAGACCTAAAGGCTACTGCAGTGGTACGATGCTTGTAGAAAGTCTACAGATGGATAAACACGCTGTTCCTAAACAGGCATCTATAACAATGTTTCTGAGAAATACGCTTCATGGAACACACTTTATGAGCAGCCTTGATGATGTGACCGTAAAAGCAAAGAGCCTTATGTACACATCACAATATATGGAGGCTCTCGCTGGTAAAATGTTAAGGGGAAAAAAGACTGGAAAGGGGTTTGTTTGAAATGGAAGACCAAGATTACTTTGGAGATACATTTGGGCCAAATCTTAAAAAAGACCTCATTCTTGAGAAATTCTGCATGTTGTGGGCCTAGTACAAGAGCCTGGCAGTAAGAAGTGATCTCAAAAGGTCATTTGGTCCAATCCTATGCAAAGATGTTTGGCTTTCAAGTCCTTTTCCTTTAAAAAATAGCAAATATGGAATTGATTGCTCACATGTAATTCTTACAGGGAAAGACCAGGCATTCAGCATACCCATGACTTGTGAAACTGTTATACTCCCAAGAACAACAACATCTGAGTTTCAAACACTTCTGTATCATAATAAAGGTATTGAAAGAAATACATTCCGTCTTAAAAGAATTTTCTTGATCAATTCAAGTCTCACCTTCCACACTATTTATAGTACAACTCAGTATACAGATTAAGAGAGTTTAACTCATGAGAAGAGACTACAGGTGCATCAATTCAGGTAGTCCTCAGGCTTACAACACAACTAGTTCCTGAAAGCCGTGATTTAAGTTGAAACGTTATAACTCGGAACTGATTTTCCCATAGGGAACAATATTATAAATGGGCGATTGGATCCTGAACGAAGGTCCGATACCCTATTTTCACCAAAAATAACCCAGAATTTTGTCCTCAATCAATTATAGACAAGTAATATTGCTACATAAATGTATTTCTATTGTAAATAGCTATCATATGGATTTGGAAGGACTTCTTTGACGTGACTTTACTGGACTTTTTGAAGGGTTCTTGGCTGGAGTCTTCTTAGGAGTCTTGGCTGGAGATTTTTCTGGAGTCTTGTCTGCTTTCTTAAAGAAAGCACCCAAGGAGGTTTGGACAAACGTTCTCCAGGGAGACTGGCGACACAGCAAACTTGTTCGCTGGTGTGGCGTCAGGTCAGATCAAGCATTGTAAAGTTGAAACTGATGTCAGAAAGTTGAAACAGGGTGTCAATTTACAAACCTTGTAACTCAAAATGTTGTAAGTCGAGTACTGCCTGTATATTGGTTGCCTATTGCACTGGCATCAATAAAAGGGAACCAACATTGTTGGTTATCAGCTTTTTTTTGCTGGTTGTAGCCGATAATGTTTACTGATAATTATGTCTTCTGGCTGGGGACCTGGATGCCTGGGTTCCATCCCATGAGCTGGTGTGACCTGTGCACTTGCACAGGACCCAATCCAGATACAGGGGCCTGAGCCATTTTCCATCCCCACCCCCATCCCCTCACTGGCAGGCTGGAGCAGACCAGCTGGCACAGAGTGCCAGACACTGCTGCGATGCAAGCTGGGGCCAAAGCAGGTGCTGTAAAAGGCAGCATGTGCTGCAGAGGCATGACTGAAGAGGGGCAGGGTGGGCAGAGCTGCCCAGCCCAGCATCTCTCAGCCCACAGTGCCCAAGAATCCAGCTTCACAGGGACCAAGGTAGCCATACCACCCTGCTGTGTACACAAGTCCTCCCCCAACCCCTCGGGCCAGGTCCATTCAGCCTCCCCTGCGGGATACAGGGGCTTATCCCTGCCCCTGGCAGCAGCAACACCATGAGGGGAAGGGGTCCTACCCCTGCTGGAGTCTAGCTCCCAGGACCTGGGGCTGGGCTGTGGGGGAAGGAGTGGCCCAGTTTTTCAAGGCCTGGAATGGTCCCATGGCGCTGCCCGGGGCTCTGTACAGCCAGTCACCGGCACCTCTAGGGCCCACGTGATGCAACTGGCACAGGCAGTTGTATACATGCTCCAGAGAGGAGGGTGGGGGGGACAGCATTTTAGAGAAGCTCTGGCAGCCACTGTAAACTGTCACATCATCTCATGCATCAGCATCCCCATGCTTAAAAATGGTGGCAGGGGCTCTTGAACTAAAACTTGTTCAATGAGCCTTAGTTCAAGCACCCCCACTGCCATTTTTAAGTATGGGGATGCTGATACACGAGATAGAAGAGAATGCTGGAGTGGGCCACAAAAAGGTTTATTTACATGTCAGTAGTTTAAAATGCCTTGCATTATTACTAAAATATTGGTTATCAGATCACCATCAGCTGATATTGTTGGTTAATAACTGGCTACAGGTACTGGCCAATAAAATCTTTATCAGCGCACCCTTACAAAGAGCCCTATGTTTTCTTGAGCTTGTGAAAATTCCCACCCACAGCACAGGCAATTACAAAAAATGAAGGCGATCTGAGGCAGTTTCACACCTTCATGCCCTCGACTGGTAGTACAAGGGCAGGTAGAGAGCATTTACAGCACTTTTCCCCTTAAAAAAAAAAAACGCACAAAACTACCAACTTAAGTCTACAAGTTAGGCTGAAAAGGCACGCACACACTTGCAAGTACACATAAATACTTGGAAGAAATAAGTGGACTCCCATCCGAATTGCAACTTTTACAAAGGAAACATTGTTGATTCAATAAAGGCATTAGCCTTTAATTTAGTAGCTATTAATAGTGTCTGCTAATTTTGCAGACTTCCTGTGTGACCCATAGTGTTCTATTGACATTTAGGCATCTGCAATGCAAGTTTTTAATCTTTAGAAAAGTCTACACAACTTCCAGTATTAAATAGCATCTTTTTTTCCATTTACACAGGCCTATGTTTTAAGTTTCATCTTTAAGCTCAAAGCCTCAGTCCCTCACCTACAAAAACAGGAAGAATACTTTTCTCAGGGGTGCTGCAAGGAAAAAAACTCATTAATAATGGGATTAAGCACTTCTGAATGATGTTCATCACCATAGCAACACCTAAAAATACCTGAAATGGAAAACTAAACATTATCTGCATCACTGTTACCTTTCTGGCTGACAGAAGACTTGGGAGTTAGCTATGGTTTCTTATACTACAAAATAGAGGTGCAATGATATATTGGTCCATATTAGATCAGCACCAAAAGGAAAATTGACATTAATTGGCAGTAGGTTTTTCTTGGCCAGTGCACCCAATAGTGTCACTGATAAATGCTGCATGCCTTCATGTAACCACAGCATACACATGGCCAAGGATGCAGCCTGGCAGCTTGGAGAGCAGCGCCTGGCAAGTAAGTCTGCAGGAGGGAAGGGCCAAAGTCAGGATAGATTGAGGCCCCCTGTTGTAAGGGAGTGGGGGTGGAGCTGAGGCAGAGGCAAGCACTGCCTAGCCAGGGCAGGGCAATGGCCAGAGCTGCTGGGGGTTCCCCACTGCTGTACACACCCCTGGGGGAGGCATGGGGGGCATGTGCCCCCCCCACTTTGTGTGTGGGGCAAGAACAAGCTGCCTGCTGCAAGCTCGGGGGCTGTGCTTGGGCGGGGCAGGTGGCACTAGAAAGGGGGGTTGGGGTGGGCTACAGCCACACCAAAATTCTCCATAGCCTCCCACCCCATGACCACTCTTCCGGCACTGCTGTTGTCTGCCCCAAGCGCAGCCACAGTCTAGCACCTGCAGCTGGGAAGAGGCTGGTGCAGCTGGCTCTGAGCTCACAGCAGGCAGCCTGCCCTCACCTTATGCACAAACCTGGAGGGCACATGACCCCCATGTCTTCCCCAACACTGCATGCAGCAGTGGGGAGCTGTCCCCATCCCCCACCACTCCTCTAGATGAGCTACCCATGGCTCCACCCTGTGCCCTGCCCCAACTGGGCAGGACCTGCTCCTGCCGCAGTCCCACTCCCTCCCTCACCATGGGGGCTTTGATCTGCCCCCCCCATACCTCTCCCCCCAAAAACTTACTTGTCAGACACTGCT